GGCCTCCGACGGAGGTGTACTGGGTGGGGGAGACGCATGCGGACTCCGCCACGGGGACATTCGGTGGGGCTCCCTATGGGGCCACGACACGCTGTAGTGGGCGGGGGAACCGCACGCGGACTGCGCCACGGGGACCTTCGGTAGAGCCTCTATGGGGCCACGAAACGTTGTACTGGCTGGGGGAAACGCATGCGGACTGCGCCGCGGGGACCTTCGGCGGAGCCCCCTTATGGGGCCACGAAACGCTGTACTGGGCGGGGCAGACGCAAGCGGACTGCGCCACGGGGACCTTCGGTGGGGCTCCATATGGGGCCACGAAACGCTGTACTGGGTGGGTGAGACGCATGCGGATTGCGCCACGGGGACCTTCGGTGGGGTTCCATACGGGGCCACGAAACGCAGTACTGGGTGAGGGAGACGCTTGCGGACTGCGCCACGGGGACCTTCGGCGGAGCCCCTATGGGGCCACGAAACGCTGTACTGGGTAGGGGAGACGCATGCGGACTGCGCCACGGGGACCTTCGGTGGGGTTCCATACGGGGCCACGAAACGCAGTACTGGGTGAGGGAGACGCTTGCGGACTGCGCCACGGGGACCTTCGGCGGAGCCCCTATGGGGCCACGAAACGCTGTACTGGGTGGGGGAGACGCATGCGGACTGCGCCACGGGGACCTTCGGCGGAGCCCCTATGGGGCCACGAAACGTTGTATTTGGTGAGTAAGACGCATGCGGACTGCGCCACGGGGACCTTCGGTGGGGCTCCATATGGGGCCACGACACGCTGAGTGGGTGAGGGAGACGCATGCGGACTGCGCCACGGGGACTTTCGGCGGAGCCCGTATGGGGCCACGAAGCTGTACTGGGTGGGGGAAACGCATGCGGTACACACCAATGGGGCCTTAGGTGGACCTCCGCATGGGGCCACGAAACGCTGTACTGGGTGGGGGGGACGCATGTGGTACACACCACTGGGGCCGTAGGTGGACCTCCCCATGGGGCCGCCGTCTTGGAGGCCGTCTTGGACCATCTTGGGCGGAATTGGAGGCCATCTTGGATCATCTGTGTCGGACTGGCAGGCCATCTTGGCCATCTTGGACGCCATCTGGAGCCGTCTTGGAGGATTTTGTCTGGACTTTGCGCTCCTGGAAGGGCCTCCCGGGACCCCGGCGGGACGGGCCGAAGCGCCAGGGGGAGTTTTGTTTGGGGGGAAAAAGAACCAAAACCAAAACCGAGAGGCCTAGCACGCCAGGCACCCTTGCGATGAATCGACAGGGGGCGGCGGATCTAGTTGTCTGCGGCCCATCCCGCCACCGTGCCTGGGTCGTGGGTCAGAATCCTCATGGATGCGTCTTGGGATCTCTTCGGAGGGATGTCGGGGGCATCTGGAGGCAGTTTGGATGCCGCTTGGGAGCCTGTTGGGAGCGTCTTGGGCTTCCCGGGGCCTCTAGGGAGCCTCCTAGGGCCTCCCAGGAGCCTTTTGAGGCGTTGAGCTCGAAATTCCGTTCGTGTTCGCGCTCTTGGGGCCGTTTTGGGCCGTCTTGGAGGTCTCTTTGGGCCGTCTTGGAGGCCTTTTGGACCGTCTCGGCGCCCTCTTGACGGCCTCGTGGGCCGTCTTGGGCCGATCTTCGGGGCCTCTTGACGGCCGTCTTGGAGCGTCGGGAAGCCGAGAAGGCAGAAATTCGAACATACTTCAATAACTTATGCCTCTTGGGGGCCCTCTTGGGAGTGTTGTTGAAGGCCTCTTGGGGCGTCCTGGAGGCGTCTTGGAGGCGTCTTGGGCTGTCTGGAGGCCATCTTGGGCGTCTTGGAGCAATCATTCGGGGACACTCGGCCCTCGTGGGCCCCTCTTGGGATCGAAGGGAAGGGGCTTCCCCTCGACTCAATTGCGACTTCGACTGCGACCTGCCTCGGTTCAGCTCGCGTGGACGATCCTGGCGCGCCAATAGGTCCTTCCACGGGCTGTTCCTCTTGCCCTCCTCGTGCACCCAGGCTCGTCTGGTGCCGAAAAAGGGGGCTTCGTTCTCTACGCAGCGTCCCTCCTGTCAGCAGCCAGACTGTACCACCGCTGCAGACCATGGGCGGCTGCTGACCTGTGGCAGTGGTTCGCTGGGCGCGGTCGGCGCCTCGCACAGCAAAGCACCACCTCGGGTCGGCCGCCCCTGATCTGTGGCGGTGGTCGTGGAGAGTATCCGAGGCAGGGACGGAGAATCGATCCTCGGAGGCCTCGCGAGGCGGTGGCTGTGGACCTGTTCGGGCCTCCTGGGGCCCGAGTCTATCCCCATCCACCGCCCGCCGGGGTCCCAGCGCGTCGGGGTTCCACGGACGGTGGATCTGGATATGCCCCGCCTCGCAGAGTGTCAGGCGATCGCAGGCATGGATCAAGGGGGCGTGGATTAGCGACGGGTCCCGCTTGCATGGGACATCGCGGAGTTCCGCCGCCGAGCGAGGCGGCACCGGCCGCATTTTGGGGAGGGCACCTCCCTGGGTCCATGGATTTGGCGACCGCGCGCCAAATCCATGTTTGCGCGCCCCCGAGAGGAGGAGGCAGAGTTGGAGGAGGAGGAGGAGGAGGAGGAGGAGGAGGCAGAGGAGGAGGAGGAGGAGGAGAAGGCAGGAGGAGGAGGAGGAGGAGGGGAGGAGGAGGAGGAGAGGGAGGAGGAGGAGGAGGAGGCAGACGAGGTAGGAGGAGCAGGAGCAGGAGCAGGAACAGTGGCAGGAGCAGGAACAGGAGGAAGAGGAGGAGGAGGAGGAGGAGGAGGATCGCTGATCCATGTGCTGCGCGCCCCCGAGAGCGGGCCCCCCGCGGAGGGCGTCCCTGCAGCACGAGCGCATGTGCCTGCCGATCTGGCGGAGCAGCCGCGACGGAGTGATGGCCGCCCTGTCGCGGCTGCGGCCGGGCGGCGGCGCGGGCCCCTGCGCGGCGCGGCGGGGCCTGCTGCGCCAGGCGACCCTGGCGCTCCCAGGAGCCGAGGGATAGGGCCGAGGGATAGGCTCGGGAGGAGGAGGAGGAGGAGGAGGAGGAGGAGGAGGAAGAGGAGGAGGAGGAGGAGGAGGAGCCTGCTGCGCCAGGCGACCCTTGCGTTCAGTCGGGCGTGCCCAAAAGAGTCCAAGAATAGTCTGGGGACGATTTTTGGAACTATTTTTGCCCGCTTGGGAGTATTGATTCTGAGTATCTTTTATGTTTCGTCCAAAACCCGCCTGAAGGGGGACGTGCCCGACCTAACCCTTGCGCTCCCAGGAGCATGCTTCCTTATTGCTTGGGGCATCATGGGCATTAAAGCCCCCGGCTCCCCCCAATCATGTGACGCCCCTCCTCCCCCCCCCCAGCCCAGTGCGCTCCGAGCACTGCCGCCGTGCGCACTGCGGGGGCGAGGCGTTACATTATACCCCCCCCTTGCCCCCCCCGCTATAATGCCCATTATCGCCGAAGATAAAGAGACGCGCTCCAGAGGTCCAACGCATTGGAAAAAACGAGAGACGGCGCCAACATCGCAAAGCGGATTTCGCTCGGAAAACGATGGGATGGGCCCTGAGTGTCCTCGAGAATCTCGCTCCGGGTCTAGAGGTGAATTTCGTGCGGTTTCTTGTTTGGCCACGACAGCTCGTCTGCAAGGTCGGTGCAGTGACCCTTGCGCTCCCAGAGGTCTAAAACGAGACGGCGGTTTGAAAAACAGTTTTGGGGCCTCGGGGTGGCCTCTCGCTGGTCCCAGGGGCCTTCAAAAAAAAGAGGCTCGGGATGAGTAGCCGGTCCTGGGGAAGGGGTGGAGACCTCTGGGGGCCCCGCTGTGAGCAAAGTCAGGACATCGCACGTTTGGGTCGGGGAAACGTTAGGCTCGAGTTCGCCAGAACTCGGGTTTTGCCGACCTCTTGTCGACGGGCCCGTCCTGGGTTTTGACGGCCCAGGTTTCCTGGGATGTCTGCAGCAGGACATCGCGCCAACTTGCAGATCGGCTCTCGTCATTTTCCTGACGGCCCCGTCAGTCTAGGCCCTCCAAGTGGGATCCGAGCAGATGGTGTCGAAGGATCACGCGGCAGCGCCGATGCATCGGTGATGCGGCTCGACGTGGAGCTCGATTTTCTCAACGCCGATGTCGTGAATGCATCGCCGACGTCGTCGATGCATCGCCGATGCATCGCCGATGAGTCGACGATGCGGCGTGAGCCACATCCGACCCTACTTACTCGGACCCCATTTCTAACCCGAGGCCCCCGAACCCCAGCCTTGCGTCTCCCCGACAGCTGCGCCAGGCGACCTTGGAGTGGTGCGAGCTGGAGGACCTCACGGAGTTCCTGGACGGGCAGCTGGCCCCACTTGAGATGCAGATAGACACCTTCCGCGGCGCCCAGGAGCCGAGGACGAAACAGAGTATGAATGCTCAGAACAAGAAGGCTGGCGGTCATTATACGAGCAGTGAGAATAGTAGACAAAAAAATGTTATTAGTAAGGAGACTAGTAATTTCATGGTTCGCAATACTGATGAGAAGACGGGTACTATATCTAATGAAGAAAATTCCTGGGGAGGCTTGTCCAAGGGGAGTTGTCCAGGGGATCTGAATCCTTGTGGGGTTGTCCAATGGGTTGTCCAGGCCGTGTTGTTTCGTCGGAATGTGCACATGTCGTTATCACACATACATCAGAAGCCTGGAACAAGCAGGGAAGCCCAGCTGGAAATGTCGCCTCTCTTTCCCCCTCCCCCTCCTGTCGGTTCCTCGTATCTCGTGTCCCCCACTCACTCCCGTTCGCGCGCCCTCTCTTACCGCGGTTCCCCAAGCAGCTGTGCTGACTGAGGTCCTGTTGCGGTAGAAGCCAGTTCTGGCCAAGGGGCCGGCGCTCAGAGACAGCCGCCAACATCGGGGGTGGCCTGGCCAGTTTCGCCAGAGACGTCCTCGCAACTCTGGGTTCGGAGATGCCCTCAATTGAGGTGGTCTGGTCAGTTTGGCTTGACACATTCTCGCAATTCTGGGCTCGGAGATACCAGCGTCCCCGTATCTCCGGGCTCGGAGATGCAGCGCGCGAGGTGGTCCAGCCAACTCATCCAGAGAGGACAGGGTTCGGAGATGCAGCGCGCGAGGCGGTCCAGCCAGTTTCGCCAGATACATTCTCGCAACTCTGGGCTCAGAGATGCCGCGTGATATTTTCCGGCCAGTTTCGCTTGAGACAGCCTCGCAATTTTGGGCACAAAAATGCTTTGACCTGGACCGTTCCTTCTGAGACGTCGTCAGATGCTGCGCGTGAGATGGTCTGGCCAGTTTCGCTTGGGACGCCCTCGCATGCCTGGGTTCGGAAATGCAGCGTGCGCGGCCCGTGTCGCCTGGGACGTTCTCGCATTTTTGGGCTCCATTTCTGGGCTCCGATCTGACCGAACCTGAGGTGGTCTAGCCAGATTCGTCTGCGACATGCCGCGCACAAGGTGATCCAGGCAGTTTCGCCTGAGACGTCATGTTTCTCACAGACTCAGACGGTGATCGTGAGGGTGAATTGTCGAGTCTCGGAGCCCCAGAGATTGATTTCTCAGCCGACGAGGGGGCCCGCAGCAGCATTCGGATTTGATTGATGTATTGTGTATGTCCGTGGGTAGGGAAGCATAGGTCTCACTACCGTGCGAAGTGCCAAATGGCCCGTTCGCTAGAGATGCACGATCGCTGCCCCAGAGAAATACACAATTGATGTAGAGTTGTGCTTCCTCTCTCCTCCCTCACCTCGTGCAGCCAGCCACGCCGCAAGAGCACCTGCCTGCGCGCGCCTTGCGAGTTACGGAGGCGCGCCCTCCGTGCGACGGGACTTCTTTGAATGGCGGCCCAGCCACCATCCGTTTTGTCAAGGCACTGATGCCACGTTCATCGGCTTGTGCTTCATCCCAGATGTCGACCTGCAAAACACTGGGCTCGGAGATGCAGCGCGCGCGGCCAGCGTCGTCTGAGTCATCCTCGCAACTCTACGCACCGAGAGGCCCTCATCGCAGTGGTTCGGCCAGTTTCGCCCGAGACATCCTCGCAACTTCGGCCTCCGAGCTGCCGCTTGCGAGGTGGTCTGGCCCGCGTCGCCAGAGACATTCTCGCAATTCTGGGCTCGGAGGTGCCGCGCGAGAGGTGGTCCAACCAATTTCGTATGAGACATCCTCGCAACGCTGGGTTCCGAGATGCCTCCCGCGAGAGGTGTCCAGCCTGTTCTACCTGCGATCCTCGCAACTGGGATCAGCGACGCCGCGCGCGATGTGGTCTGGCCAGTTTCATGTGAGACATCCCGCCCAGTTCTGGGTTCCGAAATGCCTCGCACGAGGTGATCCGGCCAATTTCGCCAGTGGGGCTGTCAGGGCTGCCAGGGGGCATGCCGGGAAGCTCACTCAGAGCGTGCCCGCTCGCTGGCGGCGCACGTTGCATTGCCCAGGTTGTGCCCCAATTCTGATTGTGTCAGTGCTGGGTTGTGCATGAAGGAGCGGCTGCTGACGCGCAGGCAGGTGCTACTCCTTCTTGGTGACTTGCGCTTCGGTGAAAACAGAGCGGCAGATTTTGCACGTCTCGCTGCGCAGCGTCGCGCGCAGCCCCCGCGGGCCCTTGATTGACCAGCGCCCTGCCTGGCGCCCGCGGCTGCGCGCTGCGCTTGTTGACCGCTTGTCAAAAAACTCCCGTTCGGATCGCTCGACAGGGCCATGCGCGTCTGCCACGCTTGCAGAGAAGTTTCTTGCGCGCGGCATCGCTGGCCCCCAGCCGACAGGCCGCATGCCCGCGGGAAGTGGAGCGTGGGATTGCTCGCTCGGGTTCCCGCCAGGCCAGCGGTTAAATCGCAGCTTGGGCGCTCCAGGAGGTAGTCCTGGGGGCTGCTCGCGTGAACGACTTGGTCGCCATTAGTTTACGGATGGCTTGGCAGGACCCAGACTTCGCGCAACGAGATTCAGGCGGATCCTTGGGCGGCAGGATTCGCCCGCTGCGGCATGTCTCGTCGGGCGTTTTTGGCGGGTTGCAAAGGACACGTTGCTTTCAAATGTCGTTTGCGGCGGGGCGCGTGCGCGCGAAGTAGGCGGGGCCGCGCACGGCCGACGCGAAGGGGAAATTAGATGAGGGCGAAGCAACGCGCGAGGAGTACAAGCGCTGACGCGAAACTAAAACTAGCAACGAGTAAGAACGCGCGGATGTGAAAGAACAGAGCGAATCATGAGATGGGACCAATGCGAAAACGGGTTGGGGTTGCCTAAGGGGGGTGTCCAGTCTCAGTTTCTTCCTCCCCCCGTCGTCCTCGTCGTCCTGCTATTGATGTTCCTCCTCATCATCGCGTTGGAGTAGCATCGACGACCGTCGCAACCAATTTCGCAGGGTGCACCGCGTGCGCGCCAAGTCGCGCGGGAACCATGTCAGAGACCACCGTTCCGAGGATCACCACGTTGTGCCGCATGCGAGCCGCGTCCTGCAGGAGGTGATCCAGGCACCGATACTATGAGGAACACTGAGGCGCACCACACGCGATTTGCCTTCCAGTGGAGCCCATGTGGGGACCGACGCCGCAGCAGTCACAATGGCGTGCCCGCGTATGAACGAGTTCAGGGGCCGCAACCACAAGGGCCACGATCACGCCGCAGGAGATTTGACAAGCGCGTGGAGTTTTTCAGCGACCGCCACACCGCATCCATTTTTGATACAATCGCCACAGCGATTTCCCCCCTTGTTTTCCATTTGTCCTTCTGTCTTTCCTCACTTTTCTTCCCCTTTCCCTCCCGTTCGGTTCCGACGGAAAAAGATGACAAGGAAGGAGGGCGAGGAGGGGCTGGACAAGGAGGAGGAGGAAGAGGAAACGGGCCACCACGACGACGATGATGGTGATGGCGGCGGCTGTTGTTTCGGCGGCGGCGCGCGGGCACCACGGCACACACGACCCGTCGCAGCTCTGGTTCAAAGAGGTCGCGCAAGAGGTGGTCTGGCAAGTTCTGCTTGCGATATCCTCACAACTGTCGGCTCCAGGATGTTGCGTGTGAAATTGTCCAGGCACTGCCGCCTGAGGCGTTCTCGCTGCCTTTGGGGCCCGAGATCACGCGCGCAAGGTTGTTCGGCCAGGTTTGCTTAAGCTGCTGTCGCAAGTCCGACTTGCCACGGCCTGAAAGTGGCCCGGCCATTGTCGCACGAGGCATCCCAGCACGTATGTGGTCTTACACGTGCCGCCTTCGCTGCTCTGGGCTCCGGCTTGCCCTGATGACCGGAGGCGGTGCGGACCGCCCCTTTCAGAAACATCGTCGAATGCCGCGCAAGAGCTGGTGCGGCCAGCTTCGAAAACTTGAAGCGTCCTCGAAGGTTTGGGTTCCGAGATGGTGCAGGCGAGGTGCTCCAGCCAGTCCCGCATGGGAGATCCCCGCAACTCTGGGCTCCCATGTTTTGACCTGCGGTGGTCTTGCCAGGCTCGACTGCGACATGCCGCGCACGACGTTATCCAGCCCGTTTCGCCTGAGATGTCCTCGCAACTCTGGGCTCAGAGATGCCGCGCGAGTGGTGGTCCAGCCAGCTTCGCCTGCGACGACGTCGCACCACTAGGCTCCGAGATGCCGCGTACGAGGTTGTCCAGTTAGCTTCGTTTGGGATATCCTCGCAACTCTGGGCTCCGAGATAACGCGCACGAGTTTGTCCAGGCAGTTTTGCAGGAGACGTCCTCGCGACTTCCTGGGCTCCGATGTACTCTGGCCTCAGGTGGTCTGGCCAGTTTCGCGTGAGACTTCCTCCAGATTTGGGGCTCAAGGATACCAGACACGAAGTTTTCTGGCAACTTTCTCCTGAGACGTCCTCGCAACTCTGGGCTCAGAGGTGCTCTGACCGGAGGTGTTCCAGGCAGTTTCATCCGAGACATCTCCACAACGTTTGATTATGAGAGGCCGCGCGACAGCTGGTCTGGCTAGTTCCGCCGGAGATATCCTCGCAACACTGCGCGCTGGCCACGTCCCTGATTGGGAACGGCACTCTCGCCTCAACGCCGGCCAACTCTTTTCTTGGGTATATACGTATGGCGTTGCCGCTCAAGCCCCAGCAACATCCGTGATTGGGAGTGGTGCTCTCGCCCGAGCTCTGGCTACATCCCCCTCTGGGATTGGTGCTGTCGCCTTCGCGCTGGCCACATGCCTCATCATGAGGCGTGGTACTCTCGCCTCAGCGCCAGCCACATCCTCAAGTGGATATTGTGCTGCCGCTCGAGCGCCAGCCACAATCGTATGCTGGGATGCTTATGGAATGCATCCCGGAGGGGTTGTCCCGGGGGGGTGTCCAGGGATTTTTTAGATCCGATTTGTTTTCTTTGAACATATCAATCGCAGCACAAGCAGATGTTTTCTGAGCTCCGCGCGGCTTTCTCGTATCGGCGCTGAACCCCCCTTGGCGGCGCCTCCGGCGCCGCCCTTGGCGCGCTCCGCGCGCCAGAGAGGGTAATCCAGCGCCGATCCAGGAGACTCGCGCGGGCCTCCGAAAGCTAATGATGTCTATGCAGAGCGGCAAATACGAGATTCTGACGCATTCTGGGTAGCTGGCGTGCGCTGGTAACGTTGTTGTCATGGTGCTCTGCTGGGGCCACCAGCTCATCCCAGGCTGTTTGACGGGACGTCTCCTTCTCTCCTCATGATGTTCATGAAGCTGTTCTGCTCCTCCCCCGCAGGAGGTGACCAGCAAGGCCCACACGCCGCACGTGCGAGACATCGGGCGCCTGCTGTTCAGGAACCTGTGCCTGCTGGACTCCCGCATCTTCCGGCCCCTCTGCCTGGCGGCGTACTCCCTCGTGCACGAGGTCGAGGACGCCGCCGAAGGGGGCGCGGAGCGGGGCGAGCTGGTGGACATCCTGGAGGGGTTTCACTCGATGCTGGTCGCCTGCGACGTGGCAGACGACCACCTGTCCACCTCGAAGCGCACCAAGGAGTCCTTCTCGGAGCACCTCGTCGCCCCCATCTCGGCGGCCGTGGACCGCCTGGCCGAGTGGGACCTGAGAGGCCACGTGTCCCGGGACGCGCGCCGGCCCGACGCCTGCTTCAAGGGCTGAGCCGCTGCCACTTCTCACCCGCCAGTTCGGCAGCAAATCATGGGAGCCTTGTGTATACCCTTTTATTGAATGGCCTCCGGCCAGTGCCGCCGATCCGAGACGCCCCAGATGCTGGTGGTTGACACGACGACGACGACGACGACGACGACGACGACGACGATGACGACATCGACGCCGACAACGGACGACTTACGACTAACGGGAGGCGCGAGGCGGGAGGCGGGAGGCAGGAGGAGGGGGAGGGAGGAGGGAGCCTTGTGTATACCCTTTTAATTCCGTTTTCAGCGTCGGTTTGCGTCTGGGAGTCGATGAGAGGGCGCCGATTTAGCGTCGATGAGCGTCGATTTAGCGTCGATTAGCGTCGACTCGCAAGAGCCGACAAGAGGGTATGGGAGGCTCCCAAGAGTTGCCACCGAACGCCAGGGGACGCCAACCATCTGCCTGCACCGGTCCCGGGCCCAGGCTCCCTGACACCCGCCGACACGATCTTTTCGACCTGGGGCCATGGAGGTCCCGACCCTGTCCCCAGGGATAGATTTTCGTCATGCGCCCACGTGTGCCGCAAGAGGCCCCCGACCCAGGGATCCGACGCACTGGGAAAAAATCAAGAAGTATGTGTTGCACCGTTTTCGGCCTCTGGAGGGCCTCGCCAGGCCCTGGGACCGTCCGAGAACGGATCAGGATGACAAAATCCGGTCCCGGGAAGTGGGTGTCGAGATTTCCGCGGACCCCGCATCAAGAAAATCAAGGCGCCTGATTTCTGGGGACGAGGGCCGCAGTCGAGGGGAAACCGCCAGCTGCAAGCACATCAATGCGCCAACACGAAGCAGCAGAGCTTCTGCGTCGTGGCCCCCCTCTTCCCCCCATGCTTCCCCTGGTGTTCCTCCTCCTCCTCCTCCTCCTCCTCCTCCTCCTCCTCCTCCTCCTCCTCCTCCTTTCCTCCTCCTTTTCCTTCTCCTCCTCCTCCTCCTTTCCTTCTCCTCCTCCTTTCTTTCTCCTCCTCCTCCTTTCCTTCTCCTCCTCCTCCTCCTCCTCCGCCTCCTCCTCCTCCTCCTCCTCCTCCTCCTCCTCCTCCTCCTCCTCCTTCTCCTCCTCCTCCTCCTCCTCCTCCTCCTCCTCCTCCTCCTCCTCCTCCTCCTCCTCCTCCTCTTGGTCCTCTTTGGTCCCGCTCCCGGCTGGGCCCGCCGGGGGGGCGCCCCGGGGCCCAGGCCGGGCAGCGGGCAGCTCCGGAGAGCGGCAGGCCGCCGGCGCCCTCCGAGCTTCGAGGGCCACGTCGCGGCCAGGAACTCTGAGTGGTCGAGGCTTGACCTCCTCCTCCTCCTCCTCCTCCTCCTCGTCCTCCTCCTCTTTCTCCTCCTCCTCCTCCTCCTCCTCCTCCTCTCCTCCTCCTCCTCCTCCTCCTCCTCCTCCTCCCTCCTCCTCCTCCTCCTCCTCCTCCTCCTCCTCCTCCTCCTCCTACGTGTCCTCTTCCTTGTCCTTTTGTGTTCCAGAGATCAAACATGGCGGACGGTGCCGAAAAGCGATGAGGCGGCAGAGCCGGAGGAAGAGAAGGAGGAGGAGGAGGAGGAGGAGGAGGAGGAGGAGGCGCGCGACGACGTTGAGGCAGCCGCCGCCACTTGCCGCCGCCTGCCACCGCCGCCGCGTGAGCGCCGAAAGTCGTTTCCTGAGTCGTTATTGGGGCGCTCTGGAGACCTCATCAGGGCCCTAATAGGGCGCTCTCGGGGCCATCTTGGAGCCATCTTGAGACCCCAGAAGCCCATCGGAAGCGAAAAGGCGAGAAGGCACAAATCAATGATTTCTCCGTGCGTGTGTAAAGAATTTGGGCTTCTTTGTGGCATCCTTGGGTGGCCCCGTTAGCATTTGGACCCGTCTTGGAGCCGACGTGGAACTTTTGTGACCTTCTGAGAAGCAATGTTGAGTGATCTTGTATCATCTTCTTGCTTATTGGAATCCGCCTGGGGCTATCTAGAGCCATCTTGGGCCATCCTGGACGCTGCAACACTTGGCGGGGCGCCCCGTCCTGACCCAGGTAGATGGGGGAGGGGTAAAGCATTCTCCGAGGGGGGAGAGGGAAGGTGGCAGAGGAAGCGCCCCAAGCCACTCACGCCATGAAGGGCTGGACAGGGCCTCAAGAACGGAATCCTTTCAAACTTCATCTCGCGCAAAGCTTCGCGGCGTTCGCCCCATTGAGCCTTCTCGGGGCCCTTCGGGGCGTTTTATTTGAGGCGCCCCGAAGCTCCAGTGAGTGAGTGCGACTGTTTGACGAAGTTGCCGCGGCATTGCCGCGGTGTTGGGGCGTTGGAGGTCTTCATGGCGCTCTGGGGCAGTCGTGGGAGCCATCTTGGCAGTCTTGGAGTCCATCTTGGGCGTTTTCATTCTTATCAGAGGCCAGCTTGGATGCCGTCCTGGAGCTGCATTAACGCGAAGAGGCGGCGGAAAGTGAGGAGGAGAAGGAGGAAAAGGAGGACGATGACGACAAGGACGAGGACAAGAACGAGGACGAGAAGACCGCCGCCGCCTGCTGCATGCCGCCGCCGCCGCCGCCACGGTAACATGGGTAATTTGGCGAGTGCATCAGTTCGCGCTGATTACACCCGGCCGTTGATACGCAACGCTTGTTCTCCAACCGATTTAGCAGTTCTTAGTAAACCGAAGCGAATGCAATCTGGATCAGTTCCGAGGATGTTCATCATTGTGACTTGTATGTTCGTCAGAGTGGGATATTTGCTCAGATTGAATGGGGACGACACTGTTGCCGCAACTCGATTTGAATGTGTATTCATGTTTTGATGTGTAATTCATGAGACGGTTCGGGCGCGCTTCAGAATCCTTGGTTCTGTTTCGATGATATGTTTGTTACCACGGTGGTCCTGATGTATTGCGCAACGTATGCCTCTCAGCTCCTGGTTTTTGTCAGTTCTTCTGGTCCTTCGAACGGTCAGGGCATTCCGGACGATGGCCGCGGTCAGTTATCTACGCGACGTATGCAACCCGTGTTCGAGGTCAATGAAAATGGTATGTTTGTACGTATCACTATATGGTTTTTTTACATATGTACGAAATACGCGTGCTCGGTTTTCGGGGCCCTCTACAGTGCCCCCCAGGAACCCAGCAGGAGCCTCCCAGTTACTGCAGCATTGCTGCAATGCTGCGGCGCCAGACGTTTGAGACCGTTCTGAGGGCCATCTTGGCCGAGTTCGGGTCCATTCTGGGTTACCTTAGCTGCATGTTCCGCGTCCGAGTTTTCTTGGGGGGCGTATTGGGAGTGCTGGCGCCCGAAAGCGCGAGAACATCCGCACCCGTCGAAAACCCACGGGGAATGTATGTTTCCGGCTTTGTGGGCCCCTTCAGGATGCCTTCCAGGAGCGCAGCAGGAACAGTAGAAAACGAGGTTGTGGTTTGCATCCCAATGGAGTGCGAGCAGCAGCGGCAAAGGGGGATAGTGAGGGGATGACGATGGGAGACGATAAAAGGCCTTTTATCCATCCCACCGCCGCATTTAGTGCACCGCAAGCAGGCGGCCCACGCAAATGGGGCTGCGCCGCCTTGAGCCAATACGGTAGCGGCCGCGCAAGCATCATATTTCCCCCTTCGGAGCGCACTTTCAAGCTCGAAGGCGGGAACGAAGCTTGCCCGCTACCGTATAGATGAAGGACTCAAGGGGCACAGCAAGATGCACAGGATCGGTAGCTGGCCGATCCAGCCACCGAACCACTGCTGCACTGGCGCGTACTGCAGGGGTGTTGGACCAGAGTCATGTTTCCATGGCTCCAGCAGCTCAACACCACAGTGAATTCTGGCACAGGCAAGCTGAGGAATACAGTTCAAAGCCGGGTGGGGCCGGCCTTGAAAGCCCAGCGGCAGGCCGACGAGGGTTGATCCCCTCTTGGGCGACCAGGTGGCTGCAAGCGAGGATCGGTCAGCCAGACTTCTCGGGCCAGTCGGGCGCATGGGCATCCACCGCGGCCACCTGTCCGCAGCATGAGGCTTGCCAACAAGACAAGGACCACATGACTGGACTTCGTATTTGTAGCTGCGGTGCCCAACCAAAACTAATAGAAGTAAGCGACGGTTGATTGATCCTTTTGCGTGGCCGTCCGCGCTCAGATCGCGGGCATCACACCACGGAACAAGGTTGATGAGACCGAGGTCCAGAAACTCGCGTGACAAGCTGATGTGACCCAGTGGAGTCTTCTCGGCTGACGTCTTGAAGTCCTTGCTGTACAGCGACTGGCACACGGACTCGGCATCAATACTTAATGCACGGGCGCAGATTCCTATCCACCAAGATTTTCCAAGGCGTTTGAGTTCAGAAAGACATATGGGAGTCTCGACGAGCCCGCGAAGAATCATCAAAGCTGGATAACACTCGTCCAAACCATGGCCTGCAACAGCTCCTGCGGCAGAAGTGGGTCGCGCTTGGAGGCGATGGGATTTACATCGGCCCTCGGTACAATGTGCAACCTCTTCCTTATCTGTTCCCACGACGCGGGAGACAACAGCCTCGAAGGCCGTATCTATCGGTCTAGTCGTCCTCTTCACGGGTGCGTCCCCGATACTTCGAGTCGTTGAGCAGATATATTGAGCCGTCGGGGGTCATGGCCATCCACGAAATGTTTGCAGGTTCTTCCAGCAGTTGTCGAGAAATTGCGCTCAGTCTTTTCATTTGGATGTTCGTAGGTTCCTGGATCCGCTGCAGAGGGACAACGTGCACCATGACCCAGAACTCCGCAAGGGTCGCCAATGCCAAAACCCCCGTGGGCTAACAAACATTGCACTGACAAATGCGATACTCTCTTTGTCTGGAGGGGTGCCGACCAGCTCAGGGTGCACAAGTGACAAGTGGACAGAGTTGATTGATCTACTTGTGGACAGAGTGGACAGAGAGGCACGCCCGCGGCAATACAGGGTCTGCGATCTCCAGCGTTCTGCACGACTTTGTCTTTTCCCTTCCTTGCCTCATGTCGTTTGTTTAACGGAGACTTGGCTGAATGACTCTG